CTGTGCCGTGATGGCAGAAAGAGAGCCTGTAGCCTGGAACACGCTTGTTCTCCATCATCATCATCGTCAGTGGTCTCTATACGGCACACAAGGTCAACGGACAAGCCCCGATCGATCTTAGAGAGCTTTGCCCATAAAAGAAAAAAAAAACGTTATTTGGACACTGACATGCCTACAACAGGCAGAGCGCAAAACATTTTCGTTGATTTTTGTTAGTAATCGGCTCGAGCGTTCAGTGGCTTGTTAAGCGTATATATCTTGGGTGCACGTTAAAGAACCCCAGGTGGTCGACATTTCCGGAGCCCTCCACTACGGCGTCTCTCATAATCATATGGTGGTTTTGGGACGTTAAACCCCACATATTAATCAATCATCAATTAAGCGTATATATCTGTATGTTGTCACGGGGTCGCGGCGCGGACGAAGGCAACATACTGGGTGTTCAGGTTAAACTGTTTGTCGGGCCGAACTTGTGGCCACGTAAAAGGAAAGCCAGATTACAGCAAGACACTGGCACTGATAGTGGAGAACAGAGCGTCAGCCGTCGATCAACTGACAAGCGGTGACGCTAGTCGGCATGCATACATGCGTCGTCGAATATTCCAGCGCTATCGCTAGCAGTGACGTAAGTTCCAGAAGAATCTGTAATGTTCCCGTTGTGGGCGTAATCGCATCGGAATGTTCTACGATTATCTCGATGGTTTTTTAGTCGATGGGCGTGGTTGCGCAAGGCAGCGCATACCGGATTGCGCGCTGGTCCTCACGGTTGCTCTGCTACAACTATACCGTCGAATACAGGAAAGGTAGCGAAAACGTCGTGGCTGACGCTCTCTCCAGGCTACCCGTCCAGAGTTTAATCCGCGATGCACCAGAAGAGGAATTTATCTGTTTGTTGTCTACCGTAGTTACCATGCCAGAACTTCAAGAAGCAAGTGCCAATGATCAGATTATCTGTGAAGTTAAGCACTTCACGACTACTTCTTGGCCTGACAAGAAATCACTGTCAAAAGAATTGCTACCTTACTTTTACGTGAAGGCTGAACTCTCTGTTGTAAGTGATATCCTATGCCGGGGTGACAGGATCGTCGTGCCTGCAACGTTGACACGCCGCCTTATGGATCTGGCCCACGAGTCACATCCAGGCATTAGTCGTACCAAAGCTCGCCTGAGAGAGTCCTATTGGTGGCCATGCATGATAGTCACATTGAAGAACTGGTGCGCACATGCGTGATTTGCCAGTCTTGTGACAAGTCCGCACGTACCTTTCCAGCGCCACTGCAACCTGTTCCTCTTCCTGACGCGGCGTGGGAAAAAATTGCCATCGACATTGTGGGACCTTTCACGCAAGCTTCGGCCGACTGCCGTTTTGCGATTACTGTTATTGACTATTATAGCAAGTGGCCTGAAGTGGCGTTCGTGCGAGATGCGACCACGTCTACAGTGAAGAAGTTTTTACTTGAACTTTTTGCGCGAGAAGGCTACCCACGTAGTATTGTATCCGATCATGGACCACAGTTCTCTTCAGCAAGCTTTGACGAGTTTCTCACGGAGCGTGGAATAACGCACTACAACTCTTCCGTGTATTACCCACAAGCTAACGGCTTGGTGGAGAGATTCAATAGGGTGCTGAAGTCGTACATTCAACTAGCCCTGCTTGAACGTCGTGACGTACGAACAGCCATGCTTGATTACCTGCAAGTATATCGCTGTACGCCTCACGCGACTACTGGTGCGACACCCGCTGTTCTTCTTCATCGACGCCAACCTCGCACCAGACTTGACATATTGGGATTGCCCGACAGATGCTTCAGCACGGACCCGTCAAGGGCGATTGAACAGCTACGAGAGCATGTCAAAAAGAAGCAAATGATCTCGAAGAGCTACACCGATGAAAAACGTGGAGCCAAGGAACCCAGTTTCGTCGTTGGTGATTACGTGCGCGTTAAGACAACTGCAGCTCACGGTAAGCTGTCTTCACAATTTTCCGCGCCCAAGAAGATCATTGGAAAAACGGGGACCGGCCTCGTACCTTTTGGACGATGGGCGTGTGTGGAACGCATCTAAGTTAATCGCAGTTCACTCCGGAGCGGTCAACAAAATGAAATCGGGCACCCCTGCTGTTATGAACTGGACACCTGCATTTAATCGGTCTTCTCATGCATTACAGCCTGAAACCGCTGCCCTTATGAACTGGTCCCCTGCATCTGATCGGTCATCTAGTGCGCCCCAATGGGACACATCAAGAGCGGATGGTCATGAAAGGGCAGACCCCGTATCATCTCCACCAGACGGCACGCAAGCTTTGACCAGTCCAGGATTTAATGCGCCTGCAAGGAAAAGCAAGCGTAAAAAGAAGACCCCAAAGAAATTGAAGGACTTCGTTAGGAAGTAGACAAAAACAGTTTTGTGTGTTTCTACCATTTATTTTTATTTTATTTTATTTTTTTTTTTTTTTTTTTGCAAGAGGGGATATGTGGTATAAGGCGTCGCTACCGACTACAGCGCTGTGCGGTGGCACGCGCTCGGTGGCCGCCACGGGGGAGAAGGAAGAAGATGGAATAAACAAGATGTCTCCGTTTATGCTGTGCTATTCATTATGCACGATATAACACCGGTGTAATACGGCGATTAAGGAAACTTGAGAAAGGGCAATACGCTTGCTCGTCCAAAATAAAGCATCAGTTGCACTTCAGTACTGTTTCGGGGTGGTTTATATCTTTTTCCCCATCTGCATGCCTGGTAACTTTTGATTGATTGATATGTGGGGTTTAGCATCTGGAAATCACCATATGATTATGAGAGACGCTGTAGCGGAGGGCTCCGGAAGTTTCGAACGCCTGGAATTTCGACAAGCGGAATTGTCGGCTCTAGCCCCTATCCCCGCTTTTCGAACTTCTCATCTCAAGTTTCCATCATCCCTTTCTTTTGGATAATGGTATCTGGAGTGTTACGTCCCAAAACCAAGGGATGATTATGAGACGCAGTGGTGGAGAGTTCCGGAAACTCTGGTGTTCATTACCGTGCACTGACATCACACCGTACACGTGTCTCCACCATTTCACCTCCATCGAAATGCGACCACCGTGGATTCAGTGGGCGAACCCCGTATCCACAGACAGTTCCACCGAGGTGGACGTACCGATTGTATACAAATGTCACTTCGATCTTCCTCCAACTCTTCGCCCCCTTCAGAGGGAAAGAGATAGTGAACTGAAGTTAGTCGTTTGGGTATCACGACAAATATATAAAAAGAAAGTACCTATGTATGCAGCAACTGTATTTGAGCGACGTTCTGTGTTTCACGCGTATCGCGAAATGGTTCCGATTTTCCTTGATGAAACTTGCCGACTTGCGTAAGTTCGAATGTGCCGCGCGTTTAAGAAAGTGACACTAGGCTTCTTTGTTGATAAATTTTTATATAAAGATTGTTGATGGCGCTACCATATTCTCAAAGTTTATGTTTGTCTTTTTTTTTTAGCTGAGCAAAGTAAGTTCAACCTCTAACTATTTAGTTACTAAATTTATTTTGAAATAGTTTTTATTTTGTTTTAAATTTGTGTTGTTTAAAAAGATTGCATGAAGAGGTTTTTTTTTTTTCTGCTGATGTTCGTGCCTTTCGTACCCATGATTCCTTTGTGCAGGCTCATTTTTTTTAAATAAGTGGTCAGCCATCTTGAGATACGTCAGTCTGTGTTTGCTCATGTTGAATCGTTGTGCATCGGGAAGTGCGCTTGCTGCGAGTACGGTGAATGGTGCTCACTTGAGTCTACGGTACATGCACTTCAATACCGTAAGTGCATTTCATTCCTTCGCGTTCTAACGACGGGTAACTTTCGCCACATTTGCGGGGCGGATGAAGTCGGGGGAAGGGACAGCCCCGTAATACGTATCCGCATCGTTAAAGCGAGCCATTGTTTATTTACGCAATTCCGGTTTGCTCTGTTAAGCAACCGCATTCTAGTTAGCACGCTTTTGTGTAACGCACACGGCGGAAGCACGACCGTCGGCGTCGCCCGGACATCGGAAAGTTGTCGCGTAAGCCTAAACCGAGTAAACAACTCGCACCCGTTCTCAGTAGTGGTGCTGCTTTTTAGTATGTATCTCTAAACTGCTGGCGTATCTGGCGAAGCACTTCAGCGTTAAGGTTTCCTGAAAGGCTGCGACGTACTAAGAGGTATGCAGTGGTTACATTCACCACCCCCCTGCTCGTTTCGTCTAGGGCCGTGCGGGTCATTGTGTTGTGTTGCCGTTCTGGGATGTCTCGGGACGCCCAGCTTTTTAGTTTTTTTTTTTTTGTAACTTCATTTTAAACGCGCATTCATGATGCTCGAGTCGGGGCGTGCGCCCCGGGCGGGAAACCGAGGTTCATTCTGGTTTCTTTCAAGGTTCGGGTCGTATGAAGCCGTCTGTGCGAGCCGTACACTGCGAGTGGAAAGGGTGTAAGGTACTCCGGTTTGGCCGGTGTCATCGTGGCTGCTACTTTTTTTTTTTTTTTCTCGTCTATTTCCTCGTATTCAGCTCTCGAGGGCTTTCAACAAAAGCCTTAACTCGCGCCTACCTGCATGCAGTCTGGTCACCGAGGTGCGATACAGTGTGGCCTATCCATTATCATTCCGCATCATTGAACTTTGGATAGCGAGTTAAGATTCTCTAACCTCGACGTTCTAGTGCCCGTTGTCTCTCCTGTTCACAACGCTTTACTGCAAAGTTCGCCGAGGCTGCAAAGTTGAGTGGTGTAGTGTGTAAGCTTCCAGCTCCCTTACTTGAGCATTTTAACTTGACACTGGTATCTGCTAGCAGGTACGCGAGGAAAAACCTTTACATATGTCACTGTGAAGCGAGCATGTTTAATGCTTTTCATGCCTTCCTTGCCAAGCTCCAATATGTGCTTTGAATGCCTTAAAGGTTCCGTCGAACTGTAGTTTTAGTGCATTAAGCATCATTGGAACAACCTGAGGCTAACGCCCGCTGCAACGACTGATTTTTTTTTCCAGAGCCTCCTATTATAGTTGCGGCACACCGAAGGCTACCACAATGACCACTATTGTGGAAAACTCGGGGAACCATTCCCCTGAGAAATCTGTAATCCACACCAACAACATTAGGTTTGTGCATTTGTTTCATTTCTTGGCAGGTCTGTATGTCTGAGAGTTATCTGAACTGGCAGCAAGGTACATCACAGCTTAGCTGGTATTGTGCAAATAATGTAAACTTTTCCATATCGTAATTGTTATGCTTTGCGTTATCAGCTATGCTTGCTGTGTGCTTTTAAACTCTTGTCATGACAGTTGCACAGTAATTGGTCGGCCTTGAGCGGCCCCGTGTAACAGTACTACTTAAAACTGTGCCTTCTTTTGAGTGACCTGTTTTATTCCTTTCTTTTAGGGATGTTGATGAAGGTGGTTGGAAATCTAAACTTGTCATACCTCCACGTGATTTAAGGAAGAGAACATCTGTAAGTTATGCCCTGCCCATGCCTCTATAATGAGCCTCTTTTACAGAGTTCGTGTTTTACAGTGTTCATGTAGTGCGTCTGCTTAGCTTCGCAGTTGTTTTGCAGTAGTTTGTGTTTAGGCAAGACGTGTTCATGAAAAGAACATTTTATGAAAGATATACAGTCTCTTGCACTAGCATGAGATGCTACATTTATGTGCAGCTGTGAGTGGATGACTCTTAGTTTAAAACTGCCAAATACAACTCTTATAAAGCTCCAATGTCGCAGGAAATCGAGACCTAGTGTTCTTCAGTCGCTTCGAACAACAAAGGCACTGCAGAAGCACTTTTAAATGCACCCCACTACCTGCGAAGCACGAAGGACGAAACAAACTGTAGAAAAAGAGGGGTTGAAAATTCGCTAGCTGACACTATTTATTGGAAGCCTGTAGTTCTCGTATACGATCACAGCTCCAGATTCTTCTCTAGGTATTGTATGAGCAGTCTTCATTCTATGAAGTTGGCACTACAGTCGCTGACCGATTTTTTTTTTTTTTTTTTTTGACCTGGCGGGGACCGAAAAAAAGTCGGAAAAAATCGAACAGTCTGAAAAATTCATTTTTGTCGGAAATATGAACTTTATTGCATCAGGCAGGCTAAAAAAATCCCATGATTCTGCCTTGCCTCGTACTACGCTTGGAAGTAATTTGGTTCGCCTGTATTTGCGCCAAGGTGACATCGTCGCCGTAAATTCTCAACACAAGCGTCACCGCGGTGGTGATCTCCGCTGCTGACAGCTGGGGGTGATCATCATCATCCGAACCACTCTGGCTGCGGCACAACCTAGCGACGAATTTTTTTGCCTGTGAGCTCCACGCACGCATTCGTCATCCGCACGAGCGAAGTCTTTAAATAGGGAGCTTTAGAATAACATTTGCGGGTATAGCGGACGCATTGAGTTCTAGAATAGCGTTTGCTCCCCCTAGGGAAAGGTCTAAGGACATTCAGCCCGACTGCAGACTCAAATGCACGGAAGCTACACACACTTCGCCGGCAGGCCGCGAACGGTGATTCGCATAGCGACGCATTCGCAGTAGCGACTCCACCGCAAGGGCTCGCGGTGCTCTTTTTTTTGAACTCCCTAATGTCATTGTGGCAGGTACATTCACTCCACTACGGCGCAAATCTGCCTCCTCCCTGTACGATGGGATGACGACAGTGCTGACCCCTAAAGCTAACCGAAAACGAGAAAATGGTCCCGTGCTGCGTTTTCTAAAGCAGACGCTGCCTCCGAAACTTGAAATGTGACATGTTTTCCAATCTTGGAGGCCGTTAAAGAACCCCAGGTGGTCGAAATTTCCGGAGCCCTCCTCTCATAATCATATGGTGGTTTTGGGACGTTAAACCCCACAAATCAATCAATTCAATCTTGGAGGCAGGAAAGTCATTTTAAAATTAAGCCACTACGCTTAGTCAAGCCGGCAGAAAATCCAACATGGCGGCGTCCATACAGGTTCGTGGCGCTGCTCAAAACAAGCAATTTAGTCCTAAAAATCTAACTTTAGGGGGCGAATTTGTCCGAAAAATCGGTCGAAAAGAAATGCATTTTCCCCCGTGGAAACCCTGACGGTGCACTTTTAAAGTCCAAAATATCCAACAAGTTCGAAAAATCCGTTATCGACTGTATTGTACTCTTGCAACATTGGAGTGAAAATCCTTTAGATGGAAGTCTCAATAGAATGTTATAGATGGCCTTCAATCTGCTGCTGTAACTATTTTGATAAAACGGTCTTTGTCATTGGGTGGCTTTTTCCTTCGTGTCCCCACTGGGCTGACCTTAAAAATCCTTCACATGCATCGCACTTGTATAAGAAAGTGTACAGTGCGTCAAGTTTCGACCGTGAGACGCAAAAAGCTGAATATTCCTGCTGCTCTGGATGAGTTATGAATCGCATCATAGCCTGTTTTAAAATGCAAAAACATCTACTGTGCAGATTGACCAAATAGCCACCAACTGCTGGAAAATTCAAGGTAGTCGCAGTGGTCTATAAGCTTTTGATGCAGACTGTACTCGGCGCATTCCAGTTGCACAAATGATGATCACCAGTTCTGCTTCAGAGTTCAGTTGACGACATTATACCACTCTCTGACTGTGCAACCTGGGAAATGTCCTGCGAGGTGCAAGCAGTGCATATACTGTTCACTTATTCAAGCGGGTTTTTGCTCTTTCCAGGATGTCACAGATACGAAGGGCAATGAATTTGAGGACTTTTGTCTAAAGCGAGAGCTTCTCATGGGCATCTTTGAGAAGGGTTGGGAGAAGCCCTCTCCTATTCAGGAAGCCAGCATTCCCATAGCGCTGCTGGGGCGAGACATTCTGGCTCGGGCCAAAAACGGCACTGGCAAGACGGGTGCTTACATCATCCCCATGCTCCAACGAATAGACGTCACAAAGGACCACATCCAAGGTAGGTGCTTGTTTGAAAAATTGGAATGCACTCTCTGTCATTGTGATGATCACCAGTTCTGCTACAGAGCCTGTGTGACGACGCTATACCACTTACTGAGCTCCTGCTGTTTTGAGGTTTCTTCAAACTGACAAAGGCAGTTCTGAGCGACGCCGTCTTTGCTCTCTTGTTGCAGCTATGGCCATTGTCCCAACTCGAGAGCTCGCCCTCCAAACCAGTCAAATTTGCATCGAGCTATCAAAACACCTAAAGGCCAGAGTCATGGTTACTACTGGTGGCACCAATCTGAAGGATGACATCATGCGCATCTACGAGAATGGTATGGCTGGGATTCCCATTTTAGTGTAATGATAGGGCACATGCTTTAACAGTCAAGTCTCTGACTGCAATTTGGCAGGGGGAGTTTATAACTGGCAGTTGGATCTAGGTGCGACTGAGGTGACTGAACTTTCATGGGACGTTGAGTCTTTCAGTGCAGTTTGCGTGCGACCGTTCTTGCGGCTTCTTGGGGCCGAAATTCGGCACTTTAAAAATAGTTTTTAGGCTGGTCGTTTTGTAATCTTGCTGAGGGTGCAGCACTTTCTCCTCAGTCAGAAAACGCTGTTGACAGATAGTCAAGGCTCCTGTGAATGCACATCTAAGCATTAAACCAAGTGTTTCAGGGCCCTTTTAAGTACTTAGAAAGGGAAATTCTATACACTGGACAAGTGCCACTTTCAGAGTAGCACTTGTCCTGTCGAACTTGCACTATCCAGAATTTAGGGCTTGACCTGCGTTTCTGCGTCGTGATGGCTTCAGAATGTAAAAAAAAACTCAATTAGTGGCCGCATAGATGATGAGCACTCAGTTCTGCTTCAGAGCACAATGTGACGACATTATACCAAAGCACTGATATGCAGCCACTCTTGTAAGCCACTGAAGCATGCTCTTACTGTGAACTCTTGTTCCAGAAGTGAACTCTTCTTCGGAAAGATTGTCAACCAGAGGCACATTATTGCTGTCACTCACTTCGTCTACTTGTGAAACTGCAATTGTGTGGGCTTGTCAGTGCTCAATGCCATGCACAATGCGTACTTTTCAGGCCCTCTGTTGCGTAGTGACGCTTCCGTAACTCCTTGCAGTTCACGTGATCATCGCAACACCTGGCCGCATCTTGGATCTCATGGAGAAGAGAGTAGCGCAGATGGACAAGTGCAACATGCTCATTCTGGATGAGGTGAGCTTGGCAATATCTGGTGTGAGCAACGGTGTTCATTTGCAATACTGCCCTTGTTGGCAAATCTTGAAGCATCGGAAGTTCTTGCTTACAAACAGTGCATTTATTTAATGTGCGAGGTTCTTTCGTTTCGCGTTAAATTGCCGGACTTGCTCCTCTACTGGTTCCCATAGGGCATCTGAATTTCCAGCAGCGCGCTAAGTATAGGCTGTAGTGCAGTGTGCCTATATGGCCAGAATATTTTGCTGTTTCGGTAAATATTAAAACTGAAACGTGGCCGCCTATTGACTCCACGGTTGCATGTTTTGCTGATATAATTACTGGCATCCTCAAACGGCTGAATCGCAAACTTGCGGGGCTTGCAACGTTGTTGTAGAGTGTGCTCTATTAAATGCAGCGTCTTATGCATCTGCCTTCAAGCTGGAAATGCCATTTGTCTGATTTTCTACCGAATCAAAAGGGTTGTCACTGTTTGACGTTGTGCTTGTACGGCTTTCCGAACATTGTTCATCAAGCCTGTGCATTTGCACATCATTAGCACCATGGTACATTTTATCGTTAGGGTTGGCTGCTAAGCCATAGCAGATTCCTGCACTGCCTTCATTACCTGCCTGCCATTCACCTAAAGGGGTACTTCATTTGACTTTGTGTGCCTTTATCTCAAATTCGTCCAATTAAAATTTCAAAGCAGCTGTTTGTGAGCCTCATTAGTACTCGGCATATCCGTATCTATAGAAATTCATCTTTTTGAGCAATTTTAAGTAGTCTGCTATGCACTCAAACCTCATTATAACAAAGTCCCACATGCCACAAAAAATACTTGGTTATATCCGAAAATTCGTTATAAACATATATTTGTAGCACTATAGCTACAACAAAGCTATTTTCCATTGTTATAACCGGTAATTCGTTATATCCGGGTTTGTTGTATCGAGGTTTGAGTGTGGTTAGGGCAAAAACTTCATGAGGATGTCTCCATTTTCCAGCTTTTTAATCCTCGCTTATTGCTAAGGTTAGACGCTTTGGTCTTCCAAGAGCTGCACAGAGCACTTCCAAGTTTTTACGATCAACCATTGCTACTTAAGGGGTTAATGGGTCATCTTGTCCAAAAGTGCTGCTGTTCTAGCACTCTGAAAAGACATTGAGAAGACTGCACTTTGGCAAAGTTTGCATGTGTGTGCACCCTTGCGACTGTAGTGGTCATTTCCTCTTTGCAGGCCGACAAGCTGCTCTCCCAGGACTTCAAGGGCCTGCTGGACAAAGTGATCAGTTACCTGCCCTCGGACAGGCAGATTCTTCTCTACTCTGCCACTTTCCCACTCACAGTGGAGCAGTTCATGGTGAGTACCATTTCACAATAGGCTCAAGAAAGTTGAAGTTAAAACGTCGCAGACAAAGATGTGGTTGAAAAGTTTAGACTAGCTGCTTGTATGCGTCCAGTGTCCTTGGGTTTGTTTCAATGATGATTGTGCAAAAGGGGCATACCTCTGCTGCTGACTTTTTGCATTACTCTTCTCCACTTTCTGAAGAAGCAATACCCAAGTTAAAAGTGCGAATTGCCTCTAGGCTTGAACTTGCCTGTGTATTTGCGAAACTCTATGTAAATGACATGCAATTTTCATTTCAAAATGTGTAGTCTCAAATTTCTATTTATAGAATTTGATAATCGAATACAATTTCTGATGTATAACTGAAACTAGTCATAAGTGGTGTGTTTCAGTACTTCACACTGCTGTTGTCATCCACAAATAAGGCGCAAGCTCATGAAGTTTCTTCTAGTGGTTCCGGTTCGCTGCTTGCCTTTGCTGCCACGAAAAAGCTCTCTCAATAGAAGTGCAAAGCTGTTCGAACACAATCTACCCATAAGTTGAGGACATAGATTCGTACTTCTATTAGCATAGTTTTTGTAGTGTTGCCTGCCTAATATAAATCTATACACATAGTTAAGCATTTCTGGCTGAGTTTTTGCAGAATGAGAGGTGCTGTTTGGCAATAGAAGACTGTGTTAGGGTTCCTACAGTGTTGCAGCTATGTTGGTGCTTCTGAGCCTGTAGGGCTTTCACCCTCTTGTGCAGAAGAAGCACTTGCACAGCCCATACGAGATTAACCTGATGGACGAGCTGACCCTGAAAGGTGTGACCCAGTACTACGCTTTTGTTCAAGAAAGGCAAAAGGTCCACTGCCTCAACACGCTCTTCTCAAAGGTGAGCTTCCCTTCTGCACAGTGCCAAGTGTCCATCGCGATCACTCTTTCAAATTTCAGTTTAAGCCTTTCTTCATGTTGCATAGGCTGATTACGACTAAGATGATTTAGCATTTATGCAGAGCAATATTCAACATTCCGTTCGGACGCATTGAAGGGTAAGCTTGGGTTTGTTTCAATGATGAAAAGTGCGAACACAGCATACCTCTGCTGCTGACATTTTGCATTACTCTTCTCCACTTTCTGAAGAAGCTACACCCAAGTTGCTACTCTTGCTGAACGGTGTTGGCAATGAGGTTTCAATGCTTTAGTTCTGCCTAGCACTGGTCGTGGATTTGTCATGTAGCAAAATTCAAGGTAACTGTGGAAAATCCGCTAAGAAAGGGCGCTCGCTTTTTATTTTGTGGATGTTGGAAACATCCAAGGGGACGGGCTTTTGCATAAACCCTTACGGTACAATGTGCAATTTTGCCGGACTGGTTTTGTGTTGTGTTGCTTGATCGATTCATTTATACCACTTTTTAGGCTATTCGAGTCGTGTGGCACTTTCGTTGCGCAGCTGTCAATCCTGCAGTGTGTAAAGCAACACATTGGTTTTTCCACATATCTTCATTACCTCTTCATTTTTCATTGCAGCTGCAAATCAATCAGTCAATCATCTTCTGCAACTCCACTCAGCGGGTGGAGCTTTTGGCGAAGAAGATAACGGAACTTGGCTACTCGTGCTACTACATCCATGCCAAGATGTCCCAGCAACATCGTAATCGTGTGTTCCACGACTTTCGTGCTGGCCTCTGCAGGAACCTTGTCTGCTCTGGTGAGTAGCGCTTTGAAGTCCTGTAAAGACTTCCAGTAAACAGTCTAAAAGCTATGTGAAAACAGTAGACAAGTGTGTTGTGGTGGGTCACTGGTCAGTCTATTGTGAACCCTTCCCGCCCTGGCGTTCTATAAAAGGACAAATTTTGCTGCAAATTGTGACAGAATTGAATAGGAAATTGAAAAAGCTGTCTGAACTATATTAAATACACCTGCGCAATCGTGGTTATTAATTTTTTCATTGTCTTGTTCTTTAGAACTCTGCGAAGTGGAAAACTAAATGGTGGAATGCGATAACGATGACATTCGCCACAACTAAATCGATGACACCTTTTGGTTAACGGGGGGAGGCTACCCTGGCAACCCAACATTTTTTATTCCGGACGTCTGGATGATACTTTCGGGGCATGTTCACAGAACTAAAACTAAAGAAACTGCAAAGTTTCATAAGGCTGTGTTTTTCCAGAGTTGAGGTTGCACTGGGTCGTTCACGTGGGTGTCCGAGGAAGTCGAGAAATCCCAGGACGTAGTAGAAAGCAGTCATTGTGGTCAATCTTTGATAAATATCCCGGGTTACTGCAAAGCAGTTTTTCAAAAATTTCCTCTCCAAAAAATGTTCAGGCAACTTATGATTTGATGCAGCAAGTAATTACCAGATTCATCAACTTACTTTTTATTATAAATGGACTACACAAAGCTTCAAAAGAAGCAGAAGCTTGTTATACCCTTGCAGTTGTTTAGAAACAGAATTAATAAAAGGTGCACAAGTCAGATAAGTGGTCTTTGAGTTATAGCTTTCCTCAGCACCAGTTGTGGTGCTGAGGAAAGCACCACACCCTACATTCATCCGCTAACTGACACCTGGCACCTCTTTGCCTATTAGATCTTTTCGTTTATTCTTCGAACCCAGTCAGCCACTTCGACCCGCTTCCTCCTACGGTCGCTGCTGCGCGCCGTTTTGTGTTTGTTTTTATTAGTGCTCCACTGCAGGGTTCACAAGCCGCTGCGAGAGTAGACGTCACAGCGGACAAGCACCCACCGAGCAAAAATCGCGAAACTGCCCGCTTCAATGCAATGGTGGCTTCCTGCAAATACGAAACTTTAAAGGGACAGTGAAATGGTTTTGACTATTTTTTACAAACACGTTGGACCTGTAGGCAAAGTCCCAAGAGTAATTAAGAGACCGATTTGAGCTCTCTGCGTAAACTGTGTAATTTATTACAAAGCTCTAAAGCTGGGAATCGCTCCAGATCGCAGAGACTCAAGCCAAACGCATTTTCAACCGCCCGTACAACAAGCGTCATTCCCTGCCCCACTGACATCGTAGTTTCCAGCTGATCTGATTGGCTGTGGAACGCACAGCACACTGCCGGTATCGATCGGCGGCGGGATTTACACGTATGTTGTCTGATGCCCCATCATGACGCCAGCGCCGTGAAGGCGGAGCTTAGCCCCCCCCCCCTCCCCCCCATCTCTCGAAGGAAGAGTTTAGGGCAGTCACGGGTGAGAGGTAGAGCAGATGAGGAAGGTACTTTTTTTTAGTGCTCGTAGCTCCATTAATAATGGGTGTTTCGATTGAACTCGTGCCAACGATTCGCTCCAGTAGTGGTCTAATCAAAAACGGAATGTGAAAAAACATTTCGGGGACCTTTCAAGGCCCAACCACATGCGATATTCGAGCGAAGACTAGATTTGCTGTTGCGAAAGGCTATTTGTCGCCATCTAGTCGCAGGTTTCTGGAAAACCAGAAAAATCGCTTGTCGCCCAGCAAAGAGTGACTATTTCCGCAACATGATAGCACCTCGATTCTGGCTTTGGTTGCAATTGGCTCTTCATGTTATCCGTGCATGCTTCATGGAATGAAAGATGTAGGCTACCCCTTTACAGTTGCTTCTCGTGTGGACAATGAGGCGGCGGTCGTACTTTGTCGTTAATCTTGTTATCGGTGGTTTGTTTGATTCTTCGATAATGCTTGCTACATACATGCCAACTCTTCAGATTTTATCGTAAAGTGTACGAATTTCGATCACGCTTACGATTTCACAAAGGGGAAAAGCAGGTCTTTGAGACCGAAAATCGCTAAAACATACCAATTTTTTTTAAATGCTAACTTTGGATTCTTCAACTATCACTGCATAATCTTGCCAATTTTCACACGTCCTAGATTGGTAATTTAAGAGAATAGTTTTTGCCCCGTGAAAAATGGCCTTTTTCAGTGTTACGGTGTTGCTGTTCTAAGCTTGCTACAGCAGCTGTCTTGGTCTCATTCGAAAGAGCTGCCCAGTTTCTTTCATATCCCGCCGCGCTTGTTTTCGTTCACTCGGTATGCATGCTGTGAATCTGCATAAAAAAGCCCCCTCGTGTGAGCCTATTGATGCGGTGAGCACACGTGACTAAATTGCGCCTTCAGATTCCCCGGGCCTCCCAAGCTGTCTGCTGCGTGCGGCAGCGGAGCGCACGCAAAGTGGCGAGTGTATTTCTCGCATGTCATTGTTCTCGTCGGCTTCCTGAACTCGCACGAGATAGTGAGAAATCGGAGCAAGCGTTTCTCAAATCTGCACATTCAGGCATGCTGCTGAACCGCCCCAACAAAACGCACCGCAGCCACCGGGCCAGTGCATTAGGCCTACGCTCTCGGCCATGTTTTGAACCTGGCTTGAACCTTTCATCATGCCGAAGCGATATCGCAAGTTTTGCACCGCTCACTAGTTAGGAAAAAAGTGCAAGAAATTTATAGCAAAAAGAGATAATGGCGCAGGTATATCCGTGCGCACCTAGTACAGGACCACGGCAACGGAACGCGATCCATCGGATGAAATGCCGACATCTCCGCCTGTTTCCCCAGTCGCCTCGGATGACGTCGGTGATAGGCAGCACATAAGGAAAAACGCAACCTTTTTGACCAGCGGCGATCGTGCGCAACAGCACCAAGTGAGTGCCGAAAGATTGCCAGCTTATCGGCAACTTCGGCGGGCGAGGACTCGGACTTGTCGGCGGCTACCAACTTATCTGGGATAATCAAGCTCCTTGAAAGAACTGCTAAATGCCGGACATGCAGTGGGACCATTTCTATTGAAAAAGGCGAGCGTGAATATGGACTTGCGATGAAGCTGATTTTTATCCCGGCTGTGGCGGCTGCATTTCCGATGGAGGCGGGAATGTTGTTGGCCCGTGAAGCTGATTTCAGTGCTGCGAACTGTGGAAAATGAACTGAATCCTGCGCCAACAAGAGCTGCAGACAAGGTCCTCTCTAATTGTGCCATGTCAGTGAAAACATACCAAGATCTGTGCTTTGACAATGCAAGTAATGTGGCCATCTGTAATGATGGCACCTGGACGACGAGAGGTCACCTGTAGCACATTGGTGTGAGTGTTAGAGCTGTTTTCTGGCTATGTTTTAGACTACTGTATTTTTTTTTTATTTGAGATTTATTCATTTTTCTGTACGTGCAACAGAAAAAACGAAGCAAAAGCAAAAGGCTACATAGCCTGACGGAGGCTTTTGCTCCGAAATACAGTCTGGCAAAATAAAATAAAAACTAGAATTAACATGTCATACACAACTTAGCCGAATTAGAGAACATCATTATATACAGATACAATTTGCAAATTATGATCACACATGTAACCATTACAAATATAAAGAAAGAACAGGACAGTAAATAGTAATGAAATACCTAAAAAACATCGCAATATATACAATAGGTGAGGTAAGGAAAGCATCAGGAGACACATACATTCCTAAAAAACAACAACAAAAGGACACAAATAGTGTACTCTAAGCAATTGGGACACAGAAAGTAATAAATAATCCAAATTTCTGTATTAAGCGTATTCAATACAATTATAAAGAAGAAATTCCTTGAACTTATTTTTGGAAATTTTCTTATTTAGGTCAAGTACGTCACCCAGTTTGTTGAGGAGACTCGGTATTTGGTAATCAATATGTTGTTGACCATAGGTTGTTCTAGTTTTCGGTGTTCTTATACTATGTGTACGGAGATAGTACTCAGCACATCGAGAAGAATCGTACATGGGGTATAGTTTATTATTTTGGATATACAATAATAACTTATAATAATATATTTGGTTTGCTTGTAATATGAGATATTTAGGGAATAACGGACGTGCGCTAAGACCTTGTGGCATACCGTAATATCCCTCGAATAGTCTTAGTACCCTCTTTTGTAGTGTAAGTAATGTTTTATAGTTTTGAGCCGTCGTTGTTCCCCAACATAAGACACAATAACTTAGCCTGGAATATATCAGTGTATAATATAACGCTTTCTTTAGCCAAAGTGGTAATAACGGACATAGTTTGTACATACATCCAACGCTTCTACTTAGATCTGCTGCCAATTTATTTATATGTTCATTCCAGGAAAGGTCTTCCTGGAACCACACACCCAAGAATTTCTGTACCTTGACTTGTTCTAAAGTCTGACCCTCAAAGGAGATACTTAGACTTATATTCCGTGGCTTATTAATGGGTGCAAACAATATATATTTAGTTTTACTCGCGTTTAGCCGCAACTTATTTAGTTTAATCCAGGAAGACAACTTATTTAGATATGTGTTTACAGACTTTTCAAGTTGAGAGATCGATGAACCAGCAAAAAATATATTAGTGTCGTCCGCATACATGATTAACTTAGGAGAATCCGGAATGCTACACAAGTTATTTACATAGACTATAAACAACAGAGGACCAAGTATCGATCCTTGTGGGACACCTTTGTTGACCCTCGCACGGGGAGATGTCTCTTGATTAATAGCGACATACTGATAGCGGTCTGTTAGGTAATTTTGAATTAACCTATTGGCAACGCCACGGACACCGTAGTTATTAAGTTTTTCTAGAAGAACACTGTGATTCACGGTGTCGAATGCTTTGCGGAAGTCAACAAAAAGACCAAGAGTATATAGCTTTTTCTCAAAATTGGTTAGTATCTCGTTTTTAATATTGAGTAATGCAAGCTCGGTGGATTACTCGTGTAATCC